TAGTTGACGGGCATATGCTTCATCGTCCGGCGTTGGAAGTGCACGTCTGTCTAATTTGCCATTTGGTGTGAGTGGCAATGATGATAGACACACATATGCTGCTGGCACCATATAATCAGGCAATAGGGATGCCAGATATGTACGTAGATTGTTGGCGAGTGACGCATCTGAATCGGCCACTACATAGGCTACCAGACGGGTATCATTGTCAATTTCGTCCTTCCATGGCTGTACAACCGCTTCGCGCACCAAAGGATGTTCCACCAAACGGGCCTCAATTTCGCCGGGCTCAATTCGGAAACCACGGATTTTAACCTGTTGATCAGTGCGTCCCATATATACCATATTTCCATCAGGTAGATAGCGTGCCATATCACCAGTGCGGTACATGCGTGCTGTTGGATTTTCACTGAATGGATCGGACAAAAAGCGTTCCGCCGTAAGTTCAGGTCGGTTGAGGTAGCCACGGGCCACACCAGCGCCACCAATGTACAGTTCTCCTTCGGCTCCCAATGGGACCGGCTCTCCGTGTGGATCAAGCAAATAAACACAAAGATCTGGGAATGGACGTCCAATTGGATGAACATCATTCGAAATTTCAACTCGTCCGTGGATGGCACTTGGCGTTTCCGTAGTGCCATACATATTGATTAGTATAGTTTGACTATTGGCATTCTTTTCGCTCCAATTCTTTACAGTCATTTGATTTAACTCTTCACCACGGAAGAACACGAATCGAAGTCGATCAGACCTAGATCTAATATTTTTCGCCTGCAGAAACATTTTAAAAGCGGAGGGGGTTTGATTGAGTACAGTTATACCATTAGTACAGACCCATTCATAGAATTCGTGAGGAGAACGACTGATATTGTAAGGCACAATTGCCAGCTGGCCTCCATTAAATAGCGCGCCACACATCTCCCATACAGAAACGTCAAAGGAGAGTGAATGGAATAAACTCCACTTTTCCTGTTTATTAAAGCCAAATTTGTCATATGCCACATTCAAGAGACGTGTCCACTGCTGATGTTCAACCAAAATCCCTTTCGGTGTTCCAGTTGTGCCGGAGGTGTAGATCACATAAGCCAAATGTGCAGGAGTGAGTTCCAGTTTAAGTGGATCTGGGTTTTCAATCGGCAAGCCCAAAAGCGCGGTGTTGTCCAAATCCACTATTGAAAACTGATGGTCTCCAAGTGCATTTTGACCAGCAGAATCTGTTAATACACATATTGGTTTGGTTTCCTGCAGAATAATTTGAAACCTTTGACTTGAGTGGGCTGGATCAAGAGGTACATAAGCACCGCCGGCCTTTAAAATACCCAGAAGGGCAATAAGCATTTTAGTGCTGCGCTTTACGCAAAGTGCGATACGATCTTCTGGTCTGACGCCTTGTGCGAGCAGGTAATGTGCCAGCTGATTTGCCCGTGCATTTAATTCCGTATAGCTCAATGTTTCTCCTTCATACTCGATGGCAATTGCTTGTCCATCGCGCTCCACCTGCGCCTCGAATAACTCGTGAAGGCAACGAACAGGTGGATAATCTATCGTCGTTTTATTCCAGTCATGCAACAGCATCACCCGTTCTTCTGGTGGTATCACTGTCAATGTTCGTACAGATTTCTGTGGTGTTTGCGTTAATGCATCTACAAGCGAACTGAGGGTCTGTTGCATATAGGCACAGATTCGCCCTGCTGATAATGATGACACCACCTTAACTGTAAGATTCAGCGAGTTCTCATGGTCGTCCACTGACAAGGCTAACGGATAGTTTGTTCTGCCTCCACTACTGAGAATACTTATTCCAGGAATCGTTGCAGCGATCTGATTGGTTTTCTTTTTATGACGGTAATTCAACAGCGAAGTGAAAAGTGGTAGATTAGCTGGAACTCCACTACACCTTTGCGCCAAGGCAAGTGTTGCATGTTCGTGTTCCATCAGAGAACTCAACCTAGTATGGGTATGACGAGTAGCAGCCTCGACAGTCATCTTATCGATATTTATTCGCAATGGTAACGTATTAATTAACATACCCATGGCGCTATCGTTCCCTTCTCCGGACTGCAAACGGCCGAGTAACACAGTACCGAAGACCACTTTCTCATTTCCGCTGGCACTAGCGAGTACCTGTGCCCAGGCCAAATGACAAAGGCTGGCCAAGCTGACACGGAAATTACGTGCAAGAGAACGTAACTTATTATCAAGTTCCTGTGACAGCTTGAAATACGCTTCATCGAAATCGTTTCTGTCTTGTTGAACGTTACTTAGACCAAACGGTAGTGTCGGTGTGTCAATGTCGCCAAGCATTTCTTTGAAGAACTTGATATGCTCAGATTGACTAGCACCCAAACGGGCCTGGGCCACTATATTGCGGAAAGGTGTGGGCGTTGTCAACTGATCATATTGTTCATTGATTACGAACTGAATTTCGGAATTCAGTCTCTCTGCAGTAACATAGTCAAAAGTTATGTGGTGTATAAGTTTCGAAGCCAACCAACCGCCATCAGACATTGGTGTAGCTATTAGACGTATTAGCGGTGCTTGTGTCAGGTCTAGTTTGTAGTGACGCGGGTTGAAGCGGTTATTTAATTGTTCTAGAGCTGACTCATTGGTTTCATCTAGTATGACTTCGGAGAGTAAGAATGGAACATGGCGCAAGACAACTTGTGCCGGTTCACTAAGCCCTTCCCATATGAAGGCGGTTCGCAGAATATCATGTCGTTCAATTACCCGTTGCAGCGCGATTGCGTAGTTATCAAGTTTTTCACGATCACTAAATTGTAAATGACTCATTCTTAAGTATGGATCGCCTTGCTCGGCCATCAAATGCTGAAATAAGATTCCTTGCTGCAATGGTGCTAGCCCATAAATATCTTGAATATTCGCTATACCGCCTTCCACCTGTGCTACTAGAATATCAATTTCTTCCTGCAATAGATCGATAAGCGGCAACATTTCTGGAGTAATAACAGTGCTTTCGACGGCAATCAGATTGGGTGGAGTTCTGATCGCCACATGATGGCTCAGAGTCTCAGCTAGTACAGCCAATGAGGGTGCATCAAATACTTCCCGAACGTTGGTATCCAGTTCACTTTGTCGCAACTGTGATAGCATCTTTACGATTAGAAGAGAATGCCCGCCCAACGCAAAGAAATTGTCATTTCGACTGATTCG